GCAGAGCAGCCAATCAGACGCTTTCAGGCCTGACGAGCAGAGCCAAGAGAGCAGAGCGAGGCTGCAGGCGGACGTGGACGTGCAGTTTACAGCCAATAGTGACGAGATTCTGAGCACTCAGCATGTCTGCCTGTTACCTGTTATCGTATCTGCAGTTTGTTAATGTTGCCACGTTTTATTCCAGAGCTTTAGTCTGAACTCTGTAGGACGACTTGAGTTCTGTTGTTAGTCTTTTCATTCAGCCCTCTGTGGTCGCTGTGCGGTGGTGCGGTGGTTACACACTCACGGCGTGGTGCGGCTGACAGGCTGCTGTGTGGCGTCTCTCACTCAGTAACAGGTGTCTGTGTAGTTCTGTGTTACGTCCACACTAACGTGTTGTTTTCTCTCGGGTTTGGCCTCCCGTCCACACTGAGACGCCGTTTTGAAAACGCTCTCGAAAACGCACACATTTGAAGAAGGTGCTCATGCGTTGCAGTGTGGACAGCGAAAACCGAGAAAACGATGACGCATGTTAGTCATGTGATGCAGTCATGTGACCAATTAAACTAAGATAGCGGAGGGCGTTACACAGCAGCTGTTTTGTTTGACTGTACGCGCTGCAGAGAGCTTTTCCTCAAATTCTTTAATTCTCTCTCGCTTTAGCAACTTTGTACTTTTGTGTTACTCGCAGCAACGACTCCACCTCATTGTGAGTCCATTTAACAAACTCGTGCTTTTCCTCGACATTCTGCCGCCACGTTTCAACGAGACGGAAGTAAATAAGCGGCAGACAGAAATGAGGCAGGTCGAATCTTCTTGCGTTTCACGGATGTGCAGCACTAGAACGTCAGCGTTTACGGCCGTTTCAATGTGGACGCACAACTCTGTGAAAACAACTGAACACGCTAGTGTGGACGCGGAGCGTCTTCAGACGAAAACGCCGTTTTCAAATCTATCGGGCCAGTGTGGACGCAGCCTCACACAGACTGGTTCAGGGTGGACTCTGCATCTCGCCCTCTGGTAGCTTGTTAAGGACCAGGGTTTTAATAGTTTTGCAATTTTCATTAGTTTTTATTTTTATTTAGTTTTGACTTCAGATTTTCAATTTTATATCAGTTTTAAT